CATTACTCTAACACACCTACAAGAAACATTCTCATTTGATTTTTTATACCTAAATTGTTTTGGGTCCTTAAGAGTTAGTGACCAAGTCTCTAGTTCCTTTTGGAACCAATACTTGCTTAATTCTAAATGAAATTTTTCTTTTTATAGGACAAGTATGTATAGTATGACTATGAAAATGACAAAAAATTACATTTAATCATTTTAGTACTTAATGAACTCTTTAAAAGATTTTGTTTTTATTCATCGATTTATCAAATTTCTTTTTAAAAACAATATTTTCTTTTTCTAAATTTATTTCTACCTTGGGAGGTTTCAAAATCTATTTTCAATTTTTTCATATTTTTTTCAAAATATTTTTGCATTCATCAAAAAATCATTTTCAACGTTCAATTTTGAAATCATTTTCTTATATTTTCTCTCATTGATTCACATTCAACATATAGCTCATTATAAGCATCTTGTAATTCATAAAAAATATCTGAATTTAAATCAATAAAATTTAAGGTTGCCTCCGGATCTTTAAGAGCCATGAGATATGATGCATTTCGGTTGGATTGTTGTCTTTCATGTTTTTCATCCAACTTCTCTCATATCTCATTTGAGGTTGAGCACCTTGATACCATGTTTAAGTTGTAGGAGTCAAGAGCTCTACAAAGTAAGCATTTTGCCTTGGCATCATTCATCACTTACATCATATAGTTTGTATCATTTGAAGAAATTCTAAGCCCTTTTTCTATCACATTCCAAGCTTTAAAATCATAGGCCATTATAAACACATTCATCCTCATTCTTCATTCACAAAATTCATATTTATCAAACATGGAAGCTTTGAGGATTTTTTCACCACCTTGAAACTTAAATTGAGCCATAAGATCTTTACTCAAGGTGGTTAAACCTACAAAAGGAGACCAAAGCTCTTATATAAAATTTTAACTTTTTAGGTGAGATGGTGATCTAAAAAAGGACTGAATTAGATCTCTAAATTTTTCAAAAATAATGATTTTAATATAATTAAATGAAAAATTAATATCAATATCAAAATATTATGCAAATAACAATAAATTGATAATCTTAAACCAAATGCAAAGTAAAGAGATAGGAATATAGAAATCAAACACAAGGATTTATAGAGGTTTGGTCATTTTTCACAAGGTACTTACATCATCTCTTCTTGGTTGTTTGCACTAAAGCTTCAATCTACTATTCTTGCATTGAAATTACAACTCTATCTTTTTCTTAAGGCTTGGATAGCAACCTAATACTCTTTACTTTCTAGGCTGGGTATCAACCTCTCACTTTCACAAATTCAAGAGAATGCCTTACCTCTTAATTACAAAATCACTTAATAGAAATGCAACCTTAAAACAACCCTCAAAGGCTAAGTGTTTGCCAAGTTTAAGTATAAGAAAATGATGAATAAACAATAATATATTTGGATACAATAAATACAAAAGATATAGATTTTTAAGCTATATCAACTCTTAATTCCTTGAAAGAATGAAAATATAGCTTGTTGGTTTTTGCTCTCCTGATTCATCAACCTCTTTGGTATTTTGGAATGCTCAATCTATAGAGGAATTGAAGAACTAGCCGTTGGGGATAGTTTAGAAGAAGAAATGCCTGTTGGAAGCTTGAAAAACTAATTGTTATACACATTTCTAGGCAAACCCAATCGATTAGGTAGAGGGATCAATCCCTTTTACATGTTTTTGACCCAAAAAGCTTTCTGTATAAAAAATGGATCAATTGTTTAAAGCGGGGATTGATCAGGGCATTTTCAAACCTTAACCAATCGATCCCTATAGGAAGGGGATCGATCCGGTCAGGCTGAGTTGTTGTCTCTTATTTATACTCTACTTACTAATTTGATCATATCTTGAGTTATACAATTCCAAATCAAAAACCACTTAAAGATTTAGAAACTAGACTTAAAGGGCTTTGTATCAATAAAAATTCATCACCTAATTTATTGTATACAAATTATAGTGAATTTTCAAATCTACTTTCTGTGTAGTTTTTAGACAACTGCAAAGTGTCTAGTAAAAATTGAAAATCTTTTGTTAGAAAATTTGGATTTTGATTTTGTTTAATCCATTTGAAAGTAGACTCAAAGAGCTTTCCAACCATTCTAAATTTAAATATTAAAGCTTTGTGAATTAATACAGAAAAATAAAACAATTTCAATATTGGAAAACTTTATTCTTGTAAAACAACTTTCTTAATTTAATCAATTTTCAAAACCAATATTATCGAAATTGTATTGAGTCCAAAATGAATAAGGTCACTTTAAAAACAACAATTAGACTTCCATTTAAACTCAAATAAATAATGTTTAAAGATACTTTTGATTTGAGAAATAAGAAAACATAAGAAAATGTTTGTTTAAACTTTGAAAATTGTATTATTTGTTTAGTACCAAAATATAAAACTTAAGAATTTGTACTAAATAAATCTTTTTTAAAATCTTGATCAAGATTATTTGGCTTAATGTTTTGTCATTTCAAAATAATAATTAATTCAAGGCTAACATTATTCAACAACCTGGATTGAGAATTAAGAAAGTGATAGTAATTAGGACAAGCAAAGGCAAGAGAAATGTTGTTAATGATGTAATTGGTACTTAAGAAAATCAAGTTCTTGCTTCCAAAAGAAATAAGGGGAAACAAAAAACCTGAGAAGTTATATTCTATTTTGTTAATTATTGCTGCTGATGTTAACTACTTTTTTTTTTTTTGTTAATGTTGTAAGAACACTTTATATTCAACCTTCTATTGGCTAAATGTTTTTTGTACTAAATGTTGTGTAAGAACACTTTTTGTTGACATTCATCAGATTACTTTGTTATAAGATTACCTCTATTATCAGAGTGTCTCAGATTACTTTCTAGTTACATATTGCAAGTTGAATATATTACACTAAATCACATTTTCACAACTAATAATATAAAGCAACAAAATTCACAGCTAATAACATTAATTCAATTGCCATTGATATAATAAGAGTTTTAACAAACATTTACAGACCCTCATAACAATCCTAACCCACTATCAAGTATATAAATCAAGTTTTCAAAAATTTTTTGGCACTAAAAAATATTACACAAAACACAAATATAAAAAAGAATGAGATAAACCAAATTATTTTTCAGTTGCCATCTCTACCATGTCCACCACCAGCAATTTTATTACTTTTTTCAATTTTAACATAAAAAAACTAGCCTCTCTTCAACTACATATATTCTGTGATAATATTAGCTTCATCAACATTTTTCTTACACTTTGAAACTTCATATTTCAAACTTTGAACATGACTATATAAAATTTTTTTTTCTTTTTTTCAGCTCTAGAATAATCTCTTTTACTTTTTAAAAAATTTTAGAATCATGCCATAAATGAAATCCACAAATAGTGCTCTACAATCACACTAAAGAAATCTCAGCAAATAAATTCTAGTAAAAACACCAAAAAAATATAAAAAAATTTACCGACCTACAATCACATCAAGAAAATATTATGAAACAAATACCAACAAAAATACCAAAAAATACTAGTAAAAATATTAAAGAAATACCAACAAATTTATCGGATAATGTAGACATCCATAAAATTTTTTACCAATATTACTATTCGTCCATGACGTCCACCTAGCTACTTTCACATTGTTGTAATAGAAAATGAGTTCTCCTTCAAAGTCCCATTTTATAGGGTAACTAACTGAAATTAACTTATACGTGTTTATACAATAAGACCTTTATCTAAAAACCTTACAATTTTAATATTTTGAAAAATAAATTCAGAGAAAATCAGAGCATGAGAAAAATCTAAAATTTATACTAATATTGAATTTAAGTTGCTAATTGAATTAATATTTGAAAAAAATATTGTATTCAGATGTTATTTCAATTGAAAATTTTTTCTCACTTTAAGTTGAAAAACGAGGAAAAATCTTAAGTTGAAGGTGTCTCACGTTATTATTGACAAAAAGAATAAAAAAGAATACCAAAATAAAAAACATAATAAGTTTAAAAAAACAATCAAAATCTTAACTAGGTTATCGTTACACATGAATAAATTAATTTCATATCATATTTTATGTCATATCTGTGATGATTTTTACACAAATAATTTAATTGTGCGTAACACTTGTATTGTTTTTACCGTTGAAATAAATATTATATTATTATAAATCACTGACGTTTAATATTTATTTGAACGAATTAAAACATTAAATCCTGAATTGAGTAACATCATGATCCTTATTTAAGCATTTAACCGTCTTTTTTACATTCTTCTTTCTCTCCAAAATCACAACTGCCAACATATCACGCAACTGCCTCTGAGCAACCCGAAACCCTATTCCTCTCCGTCGCCGGCGAGTCCCCATTCTTCCCATATGCCGACGACCAACACTTCTCATTTATCGTCCCTTTCCTCCGTTATTTCCTCTTCTCCCAAAATCATCGAGAGACACGGCCATAATCCTCAAGGAAACCCGATTGCCTCCCCTTCCCTAGAGACGGCAAGTACCCTATTCCATCCCCCTTTCTTTCAGCGAGCTTTGCCCCCTTTTCCTCCTTCGAGTCTCTTCCTTTTCTTTTATTTGATTCCTTTTAAAATTATTTCATTGTTATTATTTTTGCTTTTAATTTTTTTACGGAACTTTTCTTTTATTTTCATAATTTTGAAGTAATTTATTTGCTTCAATTTTAATTTAAATTATATTAGGGCATCTTGATCTCTGGACTTTGAACAATAAAAATAATTTATATTCTACATTTTTATTATATTTTGATTTTGCCATAACAATTATTTGATTTTTGTTTTATGGGTATTATATTTCTTTGCTTCACAATTAATTAATTAACCAATCAATTTAGAAAAAGCTAGACTTTTGAATAATTTTTTTTTTGTTTTATGGGTATATGCGTTTTTTGTGTATTCTATCAAATATTTGTAATTTTGTTGAATTGATTTGAAAAATGAGCATAATTGCTGCTTGCAGGTGAAACAAATGTTGATGAAGCAGTGAGGGATCTTCCTGGCGCCAATACGGTAAGGCTTGAATGTTAATCCCTTCTCCTTGAAACCTCTATACGGTAAGGCTTGAATATTTTTTTGGTAGTGTGCATATGGAGGAACTATGTGGGACTGACTTGTACTTTGCGATGAAAGTTATGGATAAAGTGTTATGCTTAACTCAAACAAGGCATTTGAAATTGCATTGACTATGAATATTAAGCTTCAAACCCAGATATTCATTTGTTTGCTATCTAATGATAAGTCTGGTAATGCATATAACTATGGTACTAGGACCAGGAGAGGAGCTCCCCTTTAGTTTAAATCTTCAATGTTTTAGTTTGTTAGTTCGGTAACAGTGAACATGTAGTGGGCTTTGATTAAGTTTATTTGAAAGTTTAAGATAATTAGGATTTTAGTAGTCATTTAGTATTAATAATACGATTGAATTGTCCTTTAATTCATTTATATTTTATTTAAGTTCATATTTTGTTATTTAATGCTTATGCTAAATAATTCCTTTTTTTTTTTTCTAGCACTAGCAATGAATTTTAATTATTGGCGTGGAAAAAGTTTCTCTATGAACAAAATGATTATCAAAAAAGCTGTGGAAACTAGAGTCAAAGAGTTGTCTTGATTCCTTTGGTTCAACATGTCAAGCAGCAAGAGATGCTAGAATGATCTTCTTTCCTGGTAATATTATATTTTTTCCAAATTCTTTCACAATTTTGCAAGTGAAAGCTTTTTTTCCAGTTTCTTTCACAATTTTGTTAGTGGAAGCTACTGATTTTTCTCTTTTAACTTTTGGTCCATTCTTTTTGTTGGCATCTATGATTAAAAAGAATTATTTGCCTACTTTGTAGTAAAGATCCTAATTAACTTGATTGAACTTCAATTTTGTTGCAGGGTTGGGGCAGAGTTGTCGCAACATTTTTCGGTAAAAATCGAAACCTCTCCTACGGTATCTGTTCAAAAACCCTTTGCTGCCTTTGATTGGGCTGTCGAAGACTCATGGGAAGTTTGTTCTTGTCGGTGCTCCTAAGAAACCAATTGAGTTACGAGCCTTTTCAAAGCAGATGTTAAATACCGATTTGTCAAATACTGAATTTTCATCGACAAACCAGTTTCAAGTTTATATAGATTATGCCACTTGTTATATTAAACTTTGAGAAGATTGTAATTAATAATAAATAAATATATTACCTTTCAAATTAATATTATTTTCTATTTTTTAATATTTGCATGAATTTTTAAGTTCTTTGATGTATTTAAATAAACATTTTAAAATTAATAAAATTAGTGCTAAATATTTGTTTACTATTTATAACAACAAAAATATTGTTGGCAAAGATTATTTGTAACAATAATACTGGTTATTAAAATTTTTAAATCATTGTAATAAAAATTAAAAGCATAAAATTGTGGTTTCATAAGAACTTTGGTAACAATTATTGTCGTTATTAAATTAACTATTTCAATAATAAAATAATTGTTGTCAAAGATTATTTGCAACAAAACAAATAGTGTTGCAAAAAATTTTAACTAAAATACTATTGTTACTTAAAAGTTTTAGCAACCAAATATATGGTTGTCAAAAAAAGATTTGACAACTTGTTACTTAAAATATAGTTTATTTACTAACAACAAAAAGTCATTGCAATAAATATGTTTTAGATGATTTTTTATACGATAAAAATTGTTGCATATATTTTTAACAATGGAAGTATGGGCAACGACTTTACAATGATTTTTTGTCATTATAAAAAGATTTTTGCAACGATAAATTGATATTTTGAAATGACATTAAGTGTTGCTAAATCAACTTTTTCTAATAGTGCTTGGTGGTCCATTAGTTCTGCAACTAAACCGTTTTCATTTTGATCTCGTGAGATTTATACTTTGAATGGCCAATTAGTTGGAAGCCACCTGTCCTCCCATATGCGAATACATTGCCCATTGCCCACCCTCCATCCCAACCATCTTGCTATCACGGCCCTAGCACCGCATATGATCCTCCATTTGTGAGAGGGATTATGTCCCATCTTGGATTCCATGAATGGAACGTTCAGGAAGTTTTTGGCTTGTAGGACCTAATATGCGAGAGTGTTCGTCTTTGACACGAGCCTCCGGCATTGTTTCCCCCTTATTAAATGCCTTTATTTCTCTAAACCCTAGTCCATCTTTAGACTTTGGCAAGCACAGATCCTTCCATTTTAGCCGGTGAATGCCTTTCGCCCTCGTCCCATGACTTCGCCAATATTTACCAATAATGTTATTTATTTCCTAGCACAGGGTTTGTGGCAGCATAAAGCAATCCATAGCATAGGCTGGTACAGCTTGGAGGACAGACTTAATGAAGACCTCTTTCCCATCTTCTGAAAGGCACATATTTCTCCATCCACTCACCTTTGCTTTGATCCTTTCTTTAATCTCTCTGAATGCTATCAATTCATTTCGCCCCACCATTGATAGCCAACCAAGATATTTCTCAGAATTCACTGTAGCTTGGACTTCAAACATTTCTTTATGTAGCTCCTTTTGTTCCATTCTAGTATTTTGCTAAAGAACAAAGTTGATTTGTCAAAATTGATTTGTTATCTAGAGCGTTCCTTGTATTTTTGTAGCATACTCTTCACCTTTTCGTCCTTGGTTGCTATTGCCTTGGAAAAAAGTAAGCTATCATCTACGAAGAAAAAGTGAGTGACTTTGGGCCATTTAGACTGGCTTAGACTCGATGGATAAAGGCTTCTCTCTGAGCATTAGCTAACAAAGATGACAATCATATTGCGCCTGAAGCAATAATCATAACAATACAGAAGCAATAGACCATAATCAATAATAAAAAAAACATAGAAAAAATAAAGCACATACCAAGATTTACGTGAAAAACCCTCCAGTGTAGAGAAAAAAACTACGGATCACCAGAAAAATCTTTACTATCAAATAATAGGTATACAAAGTTTTTCTCTAGCTAAAATTAGAGCTAATCAACAACTAGAGAAACAATTGGAGAAATCTCACCAAATAAGTGACTTAACAAATACACACTGGATTTGTTCCTAGAGAGCTTCAAACCCGATCTTTACCGTTCAGAATGTAAAACTCTGAATCATAAACCTCCTGACAAGGTTCCAACTCAATCGAACTACGGATCGACTTCTGTTCAACTAACTCTCCCTTTTCTTTTTTCTCTCTGCTTTTTCTAGCTTTTCTTCTTTCTCTACTTGATTTTTGACACTCCTTTAAAACAACCCCACCTCTTTTTTATTAAGTAGCCAGGGCTCTGTGTAAAATGAAAGATCAAGGCCCATGACCTTTACTTGGTCCAAAACCACTTACATGAGGCTGGACCCCATTTTCCTAATAATCTCCCCCTCCAGCCCCATTAGGAGGAGATTCATCACCATAGCAGTTTCATTTGGAACTTACCTTGGCCAGGAAACTCATTCCGGCCAAGTTACTGCAGAGCTTAAGCTTTTCCCTATGAAGTATCTTAGTCAACATATCTGTTACATTCTTATCAGTATGGATTTTTTTCAATAGCATCTGATGTTCTTCAATCACTGAACGTAACCAATGATATCTAACATCAATGTACTTTGTTCTAGCATGGTACATGGTATTCTTACTCAAATCTAAAGCACTCTGGCTATCACAAAATACCACATACTCTTTCTGATTCAACCTCAATTCAAGAGGAAAATGTTTCATCCAAAGTATTTCTTTACATGCTTCGGTTGCTGCAATATACTCAGTTTCTGTAGTTGCAAAGCAACACACTTCTGCAACTTAGATTGCCAAGATACAGCTCCTCCTGTAAAAGTGAACAAATACCTTGAAGTAGATTTCCTACTATCAAGATCGCCTGCCATGTCAGCATCAGTAAACCCTTCTAAAGCTGGTTGTGAAACTCCATAAGTCAAGCACATTTTTGAGGTACCCCTCAAATATTTAAAAATTCATTTCATTGCTTCTCAGTGAACCTTTCTCAGATTAGAAATAAATCTGCTCACTACACAATTGCATGAGCAATGTCAGGCCCTGTACAAACCATAAGATACATTAAAGAACTGACTGCAGAAGAATAAGGAATACTAGACATAGCTAGTTGCTTTTTCATAGACACTGGACAAGATTTCTTACTTAGATGAAAATGATTGGCAAGTGGACTGCTAACTGATTTAGCATGTTGTATGTTGAATCTACCAAGCATTCGCTCAACATACTTTTCCTGTGACAACCATAGCTTTTCAGCTCTCCTATCTTGGATAATGTTCATACAAAGAATCTGCTTTGCAAGACCTAAATCTTTCATGTCAAAGGACTTAGACAATTGTTCTTTCAACCTGTAAACCATACTAGCATCTTGTCCTACAATCAACATATCATCAACATATAATAATAGGATAATGAAGTTGCCATTAGGGAATTGTTTAATATGCACACAAGAATCCGCTGCTGTTCTTTTATAACTATGACTCACCATAAAAGAATCAAACTTCTTGTACCACTATCGCGGAGCTTGTTTCAAGTCATACAAGCTTTTCTTCAATTTGCAAACTAAGTGCTCTTTCCCTTTCACTTTAAAACCCTCAGGCTGATTCATATAAATGTCCTCCTGTAAATCACCATGCAAAAATACAGTTTTAACATCAAATTGCTCAAGCTCAAGATTTAAACTAGTTGCTAATCCCAGTAACACTCGAATAGAACTCATCTTCACAACTGGAGCAAAGATCTCATCAAAATTGATGCCTGGTTTCTGAGAAAAACCTTTTACTACTAATCGAGCTTTGTACCTCACTAGTTTGTCACCATCTTTTTTCAACTTTAACACCCATTTATTCTTTAATGGCCTCTTTCCTGTTGGAAGTTTAACAAGATCATAAGTACCATTCTTTCGTAATGACTCCATCTTTTCTTTCATTGCTTTTAACCAGTGTTCTCTATCCGGAGTAGCCTACACAGTTGAAAGCTTTCTGGCTCTCTTTCACTGGTAACTAAAATAAAATATAAACTTGGAAACCTGGTAGATAGCTTGCGCTCTCTAGTAGATCTCTTGGGCTGAGACTTTACATCACTTTATGCCAAAGGTAGCTCCCTCTACTCAACACTCTCAGGTAGAAAGGATTGCTCCCCCTACTCAAAACTAATTGCATCTGGCTCATCACCAACTGTGGCTAGCTCATTCATATTCCCAAGTTCTGTTTCTTGCTCATTTCCACCATCTGTGGCTCTTTCTTATGGAATCTCTATCGGTGTTGAAACATCACACTCAACAGTAACCCGTGTAGTCTTCTCATTTTTCTCAAGGTCTGCTATAATTTTTTTTTCATAAAAGACCACATCTCTACTTCTGACTATCTTTTTTTTTACTGGATCCCATACCCTGTAACCAAATTTCTCATCACCATATCCTACAAACACACATTGTATGGCTTTACTGTCAAGCTTTGATCTCTGTTCTTTCAACACATACATGAAATGCTTTACACCCAAAAACTTTTAAGTGAGAGTATGAAGTATCTTTTCCTGTCCACACTCTTTCTGAAATGTCAAAGCCCAAAGGAACTGATGGTGACCTGTTAAGTAAGTAACAAGCTGTGTTGACTGCTTCACCTTAGAATGACTTTGGTAATTTTACCATCCTCAACATACATCTGACTTTTCCCACAATGGTGCGATTCATTCTTTTAGCTATACCATTATGCTACGGTGTTTCAGGTTCTGTCATCTTATGCCTGATCCCATGCTTTGAACAATACTCTTTAAAGCCTTTAGATGTATATTCTCACCATTATCAGTTCGAATACACTTCAAGGGTAACCCTATCATCCTTTCAACCATGGCATGAAATTTTTGAAAATACTGTAGTACCTGACTTTTGTATTTCAACATATACACCCAAGTCTTACGTGAAGCATCATCAATAAAAGTAACAAAATATTTGCTACCACCTAATGACTCAACCTCAATGGGACCACATACGTCAGAATAAATTAATTACAATCTATTTTATTTTCTCTGAAAACTTGTACGAAAAGAAACTCTATGATGCTTACCAAACAAATAATAATCACATGAATCGAGAGACATACCTTTGGTCAAGGGAATAAGAGACTATCTTACCAAAACTTATAACCCCTTTTCACTCATGTGTGCTACCCTTCTGTGCCACAAGTTTACTGAAGCATCAT